GGTGGGTCGGTCGGTCGGTCGGTGGGTGGGTCGGTCGGTGGGTGGGTGGGTGGGTGGGTGGGTGGGTGGGTGGGTGGTGCGTGGTGTGTGTGTGTGTGTGTCTGTATGTGTGTGTGTGTGTGTCTGTCTGTGTGTGTGTGTGTGTCTGTGTCTGTGTCTCTGTGTCTCTGCGGCTCTCGGTCTCTGTGTCTCTGTGTGTCTGTGTGTCTGTGTGTGTGTGTGTGCGTGTGGGTGTGTGTGTGTGTGTGTGTGTTTCTGTTTGTGTGACAGCCATCGGTGAATCGTGTGATCTCCAAAAAACTCAGACCTACGGCCCGCGATGTTGCAGAGTAGCTCCACACTCCCTAAATTCCAACACCCAGAAATTTCGAACCTATCCTGCATGGCCGAGAATAGAGTCCTAGCAGTCCTAAGTCCTAGCAGGTCCTTGCATTAAAGATGAAAACCCTGCCCTGTACACACGGCACTTCGTCGCCTTAGTGCCTTATAGTCCTGGAGTAGTGCCTGTATGGAAGCAAATAGAGGTCCCAACAAGAGATGCTATGACATTGTCTGTAGTCTGTGAATCCTAAATCCTTAGTGTCCCCACTCCTCCAAGGCTGTCTCATCGCTGCTGGACGGCAACAAACGGCGTGAATCCGGATGCAGCAGGAGCTCATGGACACTTCGCGGGCGGGATTTCTTCTGCTCGGCCAGGATACCCTGGAACGTGCAGGTTTTTGTTTGGGCTCGAGGTTCAGGGTATCCGGAGCTTATCAGGCAGAGGCAGAGAGAAAATAAGTGAGTTACGTGCTAGCTACTAGCTGCTAGCTGTTACTTACTAGCTGCTACTAGCTGGTGCTGGGCTTCGAGTCAGGCTCTAAAGGGCTACAAAGCCACAAAGCCTACTATAGTTACTCTAGTTACTACAGGGTGTCCTGAAGTTGCGGATTGCTCGAGAGTCCAGAGTCCAGAGTTTAGAGTTTAGAGGGTGGTGTGTTAGTAGGTTACTGGGGTTACCGGGGAATCTACGGAGTAGCAGCTATTGATTGCTGCGCTTGAGGCTCACTCTCAAACTCTAAACTCCCAACGAGGCCTCCACCGTGCTGCGAATGGATCGGGCATCCTCCTTGCTGTACGTGTCCTTCCGCAAGAACAGGAGGTAGATCCTGTCGAGGGCTTGCAGTTTCGCTATGCCTGCGCTGATTTTTTCGGTTGAGAGTCTAGAGTGTCTGGGGTCTAGAGTTACAGCGATGCCGAGCAGAGGCAGACCCCAACGGGACAAAAACAACCGCAACACCAACGTCCCAAACAGTCAACAGATTCGCTGAGCCGTAGGCCCTGATCCCTGCAACCCGAGAGCCTGTCACTGTGACTGGTGACTGGTGACTACTGACTCGGCTTTGAACTCTGAAAACCGAACTGTCAGCTGGGGTACGACAAGGACAGTTGCCAGGTGTCAGAGGAAAAGGACGGCTGAGAATGTTTAGCTTAATCGGTTCAGTTGAAATTTAAGTTTAATCGTATAGTAAGTATAGTACAAGCTTCCAGAGTGACTACAATCTAGTGACTAAAATCACTCGAGTGACTAGTGACTAGTGACTAGTGACTAGACTGACTAGACTAGACCAGACTCGGTGACTCGACTAACGATAAAGGACGAATGACTAGGGCCTAGGGCCTAGGGCCTAGGGGACTAGGGCAGGGACTAGTGAGTGACTAGTAACTAGTAACTATTTCTTTTCGATTCTTGTTGAGAGTACAACTAGAATAGAAACTAGAGCACAGAGGGAGCAACGATCTGGGACCTGGGCTGACATGGACTCAACGCACTGACGAGTTGCCAGGGGCACTGGCATGCTTCTGCTTTTCTTCAAAGACTCATCACGGTCGCACTCTCTTGGCACGCAGACTCACAAGACACCGACTCAAGGAATCTTGCTCGGTTCCTCCGGCTCTTCATCGCCTACCTCCCTTTCGTAAGCTTCGGCAAACGCACGACCCCTCCATGCGATAAAAAGCTTCCCGCGCAGCTCTACGATCGCACAGGGGCGAGGGCTTCATTTTGACGTGACCATGTGCGGATTCTTCCTCATGCGCTCGCATGAGCCAGCTGACTAGAAGGCCGATCGGACGGCCTTGCCCACGGAGCCGTGGGAGATGCGAAGAGGTTGTTGCACGCCGCCTCCGGCAATTCTCTCCATGCACCCCGCAACGGGCGATCAAAACCTCTTGTGCAACATTATAGCGGATTTGCCCAAGACCACCTTCAAGTTCGAAGACATGTTCTGCGATCGCAGGCGCACGAGGACCTGCTGCGCCCTGACGTTCTGCAGCCTCATCCTCGCCATCAGAGTCGGGGGAGGAGGAGGAGTCACTGCTGGACGTGCTGCTGCTGCTGCTAGAGTCGCTGCTTGAGCTTTCCGTAGAATTTCGGTCCAGCTGCACATCGCCGGCGTTCGCCTCGCGATCCTCGGCTCGCATTTCTGCGAGCAATGCGTCCAGCAGTCCAAGACCCTCATCCCCATCATCGTCAAGCTCTGCATCAGACTCACCGCCTGACTCTCCAGCTTCAGATGCCGAAGAGGCTGCGTCCGCATCCTCTTCGAGCTGCATGGCTTCGCTGTCGTCCGTGAGGATTGCTTGCGCCTCCGATTCTGCTGGCTCCGCAGCATCATCTTCGTCCTGGTTCTGAACGGCTGCTGCAGCCTGTTGCGGGCGGCCGCCGCGAGTCTTCGGTTGCCGTTCTGCGCAAGACTGGCGCTCCCCGCGGCGTCTTCTGCCTCGTAGACGCTGTTGCTCTGCAGCGTCTTCGTCCTCTGCAGCCTGCCCCCTCCAAACGGACATCTCTAGACAGTCTCCACTGTCTGAACGGCACGCAACTACCTGAACATAGCCAGGCTTCATCCTCTCAAATGACACTGTTGCAGAAGAGTCCACAATGGCATACAAAGACATGCTGCACGGAGACACAAAGTTGATGTCGCTGGCCAGTGCGTGCACCGAGGTCATGAAAGTTTTGGCGGTGCGGCGTACATCCTGTCTTTCCATCTCCATGCACACTGATCTCAGCAGAACCGTGTCTTGGAGAGGCTGCACATCACCCGGCACACGCAAGAGCTTGTGAAAGGTCAAACGCCAAGTTGTGTAGTTGGCAAATCCGACGTGATACCAGAACTCTGCATCTGCATCATCTGAGGCATGCAGTCGCAGCACGATTTTGCCGGCCTCCAACATGAGGCGCTCTGAAGACTTTTCTTTCTTCCGACTCCAGCAGATACGCTTCAAATCCGCAGCGATGCGCTGGTGGACCTGGTTCGCTGTGTGTCCATTGCCGGCAGCCCCACAGATGCAGATGCCCAGTTTTGAGCAAGGCTTGGCACTGAACATCCGTCGCTGCACTGCTGGGTCGAATTTAATTCGCGGCTGGTCCTTGTTGCGGACGATCTCTGTATGCTGGCAGAATGCCTCCGTCAGCTTGTTGCGCAAGCCCCAACTACGGCCACTGACGCGTCCACTATGACTGAGGCCCTCCTGCGGCAACACAAATAAGAAAAGCACTTAGGACCGGCCCCAGGCCATTTACAGATCTGCACTCGTAATCGAAAGACTCTGATTAATGCAGGACTTGACTACTGACTAGTGACTAGTGACTACTGACTAGACTCACTAAGACTAGGACCTAGGACCAGGACCAGGAC